GATTAGAGTTGAACTAAACAAGAAAGATAAAGTAATTTGTAATTATTATCAGAAGGTCATAACTATTGGCATAAACTGGTTCAAGTAGCATTTGGCAGGCGTTCTTGGGACGTCGCTCCGTGCAACCATGTACCTGCCAATGTCAGTAGATAGATGGCGGCGCTCTTTAAAGCTTATAAAGGTAAGAAGACAGTCAAAGAAAAAATGAATAAGGAGATCACCAGCTTGCATGTATCATAAAGTGGAGTGGATCCAAACCAACAATTCAACCACGACATAGAGATTACAATGAGAGTCAGCTTGGAAAAAGTGTACCAGCTGGAGAGGGGGATGGGTATGTATGGAGGCCTTGGTCCAAGCACGTATAGAGGGTCCGGACTGAGCATGTATGGAAGGCCCGCCTCAAGCACGTATGGAGGGCCTGGCTAGAGCATGTGTAGAGGGCTTGACCCGAGCATGAATGGAGGACCTGACCCGAGCATGTATGATGGGCCCGCCTCGAGCATGTATGGAGGGCTTAGCAGAGGGGCACCTGGTGCCAGTTCAACAGCTGAGGGGTCGTATAGGGCAACCGCGTCCTATGATATAGATGATGTTACTCCTAGCCTGTCTAGCATAAGAGGAGCACGCAATAGATTGATAAAAGCAATGAGGCCAATGGTTGAAGGTGATCCATTTGCCTCGAAGTATAAATCTCAACAAATGACCTAAAAACCATGATCAAAGGTGCACGTAATTTAATGGTAAGGGACATAGTAAAAATAATCGTATGATAATGTTATCCCCTTTAATTCAGCCAATAGCCTATTTTACCACTCTCTTATCACTGAAATTCAGAAAGCAAAGCTTGAAGTAAAGCCTCTTACAACATATGAGCTTAGTGGGGGAATATTAGATGTATAGGTAGAATATACTAAGAAATAGATTGCGGTTCTTAAGGATAGTTGGCCAGGAACATGCACCATTATGAGTGACGGTTGGTAGGACAAAGTCAATCAGAGAGACTACTTAAACTTTCTGGTTTATTACCACGTGGTACGACCTTCTTGTCCAGTAGAGATGTCTTTGCACTGACGAAGAAAGAGAAATTTGTTGCACAACTATTGGACAAGATAGTCGAGGAGGTGAGAGAGAAGCATGTGGTCCAGGTTGTTATAGATAATGCCATGGCTTGTGTTTCAACATGGTCAAAATTGATGGAAAAAATGAAACATTTAGTATAGACCCTTGTGCTTCCCTTTGTATTGATCTCATATTAGAGAAGCTTGACGAGCTCAAAACTGTGAAGGAGACTCTCGCATCGGCAAGGTCGATCACAAAATTTATCTACAACCACTCTAGGATCCTTTATTTGATGAGATAGTATACCGATAGGAAGTTAATCAAACTCGCTATCACCTGCTTCACGAGAAGCTACCTAGCCATAAACTTTATTATACAATCGCAAACCACATTGAAGAGGATGGTCACCAATAAGGAGTGGACAAAGTCTTGTGAGGAATGAAATGTTGATGCCATAATCTTCAATAAGAGATTTTAGACCAGGTGTGCCCACAATGATTTCGCAAGTGCTCATTTAGTAATACTATTAAGAATAATGGATTGTGACAAGAAATCCACCATGGGCATCATCTATAAAAGGATAGAGAAGGCGAAAGATCTATTAAAGAGAAGTGCAGTTTTGCCCCTACAGTAGTAGATATTATAGAAAAAGGTGGAAAAATCAACTGGGCTGCCTGATCCTCTATACATATGAAATATCTATTTATATGTTTAGAAAGTTTAGATTAAAATATTTTATCAATGTTAATTCAAATGGTTTCTTCATCTTTATTTTATCGGTTTCTACTTCAACCCTAGTTGTTTCTATGCATGCTTATTATTCTTGAGGATGCCATTGAGGGGGTGAAACATATTATCGAGACATTGGAGAGGAATTGTAGATCCCAATTAGCGACAATAAGTGGGGTAACATTTAATAGTTGTTGTAGCTTATAAAATTCCACTAACCTAATGCACGTCATGCATAATTAAAGCATTATAACATAATGTCTTTTGCTGATGTTTATATATAGGAACGCAAAAGGCTCGTTTGTAAGAAGGCTTGCGTGGCTCCTCGAAGTACGATGGATCTAGGTAATCTAATGTATAATTATATATTCTTTTGCACCATTTTCGTTATGAAGTATTTCGCCTCTTTCTTACAATGCATTTTACATCTCATTTCAGCTAAATTGTGGGGGTGTCATGGTGGAGACGTACTTCACTTAAAGATGATAGCAATCAGGGTTTTCTCCCAAACATGTTCAGCTACTAGATGTAAGCGGAACTAGAGTACCTTCCAGTAGATATTGGACTATAATATACTTTAAAAAAATGAGAGAAATTTTGCAAAGATATTGTTGGAAAGGTCACCTTCATTTCCACGAGAACTCAATCGTAAGCAACCTCCTGAACCATTATGGTGATTCTCCTCATGTAGATTACGAGATTCAGTTGGGCTATCATGGGAAGAGCTCTCAGGTGAAATAGAGTTTCCATTAGAGATAGAGTCATGAGCTTGCATATCACCTGGATTTTGTTCAGTAGAGGACACATGGGTTCCTGAACATGATGATGTGGCCTTCCCTGCAAAAATTCCTTATGATTTAGTCAAAAAGTAATCTTGATTGACTTGGTTGTGATATTTATCGTAGATACAGTCGAACCGTGATTGTTGGAGGAAAAGTCTCGAGTTTGGGCAAGAGAACATTCCTTGAGGCAATTGGTGAAGAGTATGAAAAACAAAATGATGATGAGCAGGGATGAGGAGAGGAGTAAAAACAAGATCCTCGTTGCTATTTGAGCAATTTGTTGGAGATGTAGGAGGCACTGCACATGTTGAATGACAGAGGGAATGGGTCATGGGAGGAAATAAAGGAGATTATGATTCTAAGACAACCCGATCCCAATCAAGATATACGCAACTTCAAATCCAGCAGCAAGAGGGTGGGGGCAAGCAAGAGGATAGGGTTGAACAAGCCTTAAAGACTTTGGACAAGGATAACAATAGTTCTCCAACTGTGAGGGATGTGAGTATAGTCAAGTCGGCATTGATGATCTTGAGACGTACATGAATTGACTCAATGAATTATCAAGAGAATTAAATGAGAAGTATCAGTGCGATGGCGACGAAGAACATAATCACCTTTTGTTTTGGTATTAAGTTGTATTTTAGTTGTTGTATGCTCCATTTTGGACTTTGTATTTATATAATTGATTATTGTAGCTTATGACTCATTTTAGGGGACATGAATGGATATCCAACTTTCTTTGCCAATACTAAAAAAGTGTATTGTCTTTTTTTGTCAATATTGGCAAAACATGTTTTCTCTTTTGTGAAGGGAGGTAGCAAGGTTTAAAAAAAAAAACGGATTGGTGACCCAGATTGGCCTCTCCAAAATTCGTGTCGGATTAGTGGATTATTGTGTCGAATAGGAGAATCGACCGATTTGGCAAGTTTCGCGCCAAATTTTTTTCAAAAAATCTCTAAAAATAGTGTTCTTTAATTTTCTAAAGTAATTAGGAATGAAGCATTATGTCTTTGTAAAAATATGTAAATATTGATACGTTGTTTTTCTGTCTGGATGTCTGTTAATCATTCATTCACATCACTAAAACACTATGGTCTAACATCCTCACTTGCAAATAATTCATGGAACCATTTATTCTATACAAGGAGGTATATAAAAAGACTATTGAAAAGACTCAAGGTTAAAAAAAATAAAAAATTATCAGATTTCACAACTAGCCTAAGCCACCTAATTTGACATCTAATAAGTACGAATGATTGATACCTCATTGTAATAAAAAAAGGGTGACGTGTGTGTAAGGTTGCCTCCTTATACTGTAGAAATAAGGTGCACCTATAAAATTTACTTAGAGATATTGTTTCGTTGTCGAAATCTATACGAAGACTCGAAAATCTCTTTTTATTGTCAGTTAGAAAATTTAAAGTTTAAAAAATTGTACAAATCTAGAAAATCAAGAAATGCTTGAAAAATAAACGGTTCAGATAACTTATTACAATATGCACTATTTTTTGGACTTGGAATCCTTTTTTTCTTCGTGTTTATTCATCTGGATGTCAAGATGATCACGTAGAGTGTTCTCCAATGCTGGAACACTCTCCTCTATAGGATTGCACCTTACTTCATAAATATAAGTATGCAACCTTATATAAAAATTTTATAAAGATAAATAGTCTCATTGTATACAGTCCCCTACTTTTAGTGCTTAATATCCCAATTTGTTTTTAGAACAATTGTTTCATGCGGGCTGGACTACAATTCTACAATATGCGGTCCAAAGGTATAAATCATCCATCTTGAAGATGGATGCAAATAGGTGGTCCATCTAAAAACAATTGTAACTAACGGTTCAAATATTTTTTTAATATAATTATTATTTCTAATTTTCAATTTTGTTTTCATATTCATGATAGTAAAGATAATATATTCTCTAAAGGGAAAAGTTTAAATAGAGCCAAAGCTCTAAACAATCAAATTAGAGCTTACCTCAAAATTTTCATTAGAAGAGGTTGTTTTGATGATCAAATATCCTCAAATTGATCATCTCGACATCAAGATGTACATGAGAAAAAAATGATTTCAACTTGTGGAAATAGTGCATCTTATAATACATTTTTGGGCCGTCAATTTTAATGATTTTCAAATTTTCATAGATCTTCTCGATCTACACTATTTTTTAAGATCTAAGTTTTTTACTTAGAAATGAAAATATATTTTAACGCTATCACAAAGATTTGCATGATTGAAACCATATTTCTCAACACTATTTGGAGGTGTGCTCTACTTGGATTGTTTAGAGCCTGAGCTCTATACCAACGTCACGCTTCTCTAAAAGATAAAATTATATTTTAAAAAATATTTATTGCCAAGCCCACATTTCTGCAATATGCGGGCTGGGCGCATGCTAACCGCGTCCTCGATTTATAACTACGAAGGTCAATATGGAGATGATCGATTTGAAAGTTTTCCGATAGTACTGCAATTTTTTTTTTGCAAGCTTTGAGGTGAGGGTTTAACTGTTAAAATATTTTCGATTGAAGATTAATAAGAGGAAACGAGAGCAACAGAACCAGTGTCGTCATCATCTATACTCGTAACAACCAATTAGGTACTTGACTTTGCTTCTACTTCTGAAACCCTAGATTTGGTAGGTCATGACAGTGCCCAATTCGCCATTAATCAAGTAAGCAAGACCAGATAATGGGGTTTTGCCTGGCTTGCTTTACTGGTCAAAGCAAGAAGGAGAGAGAGGAGGAAGATCGTGTACAATCCTCTCAAGCCCGAGCCATGGCTGCCGAAGCAGCTCAAAAAAGGCATGTTATCCCACTATTGCCTTATTCTCTGAAGCATATGCTTTTCTTTTCTCATGTCTCTTTTTTGTGAATGGATTTCTCTATGGAAATTGTACACCGAAACCCTAATTACAGTGGAGGAATAAGAAGCCATGGAGAAATTTCTAAGTTACCTTTTACTTTCTTCGCTCGTATTTTCTTCTTGGGATGAATTCTGTAGCTTCTTGTATATATCCATTGTAAGTTTCTTCTTTTGGTCGATGAATTTCTTTGGAGACATTCTATTGATAAAATGTTCTGCTGCTTCAGGCAAGAGCAATTCGAGAAATCCGCTGCAGGAAGAGCTGCCCGTGCCCAAATGGCGGCAGCTGCAAAGCAGTCTAATGTTCCTAACAACAAAGGTGGACCTGTACTCCAGGTAATTTTCATACGTATATTTTTTTTTCTTGTTTTTCTCAGAAAATGGGGTTCTAGCATATCATATGGTGATTGCTTATGGACTTCATCTGGTTATGAAAGCAGTGGCAGATGGGATGATGAGCTCTGTCACTTTCTCCAGGTAATTAACATGTAAGTTCACATCTTTCTAGTTTGAAATCTTTATTGTTTATTGGAATGTTCTGAAACTTGGCTCAAGCCTCCGACCAAGCCCTGGGAAGGATGTAACTTTGACCAAAACCCAAGAAAACCGAAAAAAAAAAAACAGACCACTAGAAATCTAGAAGTGATGAAAAAAATATGAAAGATGGAATTTGGAAAAAAAAAATATTTGTAGCTGGAAATAATTCAGTTAATTCGAAAAAAGAAAAATTTTGTTTAGAGCCGATGCTCTAAACAATCAAATTAGAGTCCATCTCAAAAATTTCACTAGAAGAGGTTGTTTTGATGCCCAAATATCCTCAAATTGATCATCTTGACATCAAGATGCATGGACATGAAAAAAATTGGATTTCAAGTTTTGGAAATAGTGCATCTTGTAATGCTTCAAATTGATTTTTATGCATTGATTTGCTAAAGAAAAAATGTAATTTTTATGAATTTATTCTATTTTTTTAAGGGCCAAGTTTGTACACTAGTACTCAGCTTGGCTAGGTGCCTAGTCCAAGTTTCTGAATATTGCTTTTGCCAATTTCAAGTGATTGTTATCATGGTATGAAATTAATGAGTAATTCATCGAATACAAGTTGGTTTTTGTACTTTTCGAGCAAATACTTTTGCATGTGTTGATTCTGTTGTTGTGTGGGCTAAATTTCTCATTGAGAGAAGTACCCCATGGGACCGTTTACCTGTTGTGAATATGGCCTGAAACTTTTCAGAGGCATCAAGCTCTATTGATTGTGGTTTGGTATGTTTTGAGGCAATTTTTATTAAAAGCTAGAGTAGGACCATGGATTAAGTATGAGACATAAAACCAGACGTAGACATATGCAAGAGAACGTGAGTGGTAGACTATCCCAAGTACACTGATGTTTTGCCAAGTCCCATTCTGTCAATTTTATCACCAAAAGACAGACTATCCCCTTGCCAGTTTTCCTTGGAGCATAGCGGAATAATACTCCCACAATATAGCTAATGTCGAAAACTTCATTTTATAACATCCACAATCTCCATGTTACTGTATCTGTGTTCTATTCTGATAATATTGAGTGAGTTGTCTTCGGCTTGGTTCTAATGAAATCTCCTAGAGTGTTTTCATTTCAGCCTCAATGGAGTTGTGTGTGCCCCTAAGCATCTCAAGGAGTTTAGGACTCATCTTTAGCAAAGAACTTGTCTTTAGCCATCCTATGTTAGGCTCCCACTCTGGACAGCAATATATTCCTATTAGGGCAATCATTGGAGTTGAGTTTCAGAAATCCTCCTCCTGTTTCCTGTATTGCAGTCTGCATTTGAACCTTGTAATCTCGCTAAGTGCTACCATCATCCATTTTTGGATCAGGTCACCCACTCTAGTCCCAGAAACTCCTTTGAAGCAAGAGTGGATGAGATAACTGTCCTTAATCTACTCTTTCAACTTATTGCAATTTTGTTTTATGCATTGAGAAGTTCAATTTTCTTTCCATTTCCAATATCAGTAGTGATGGTAACATATAAGTCACTTGCCATCCTCTAGGAATAAATTGTGCAAATAGCTCCCATACCATGACATTGGTTTCATGCTTGCACCACTGCAGCTATTTCTGTCATGATAAAAGGGCCTCTTTAGGAAAAATTTCGTGGTTCAAGGCTTGAGGATCATTTGCATCTTGGTATTTCATGGTAGGGAAGGTTTCAAATGAGGAAAAGAACATAGTCACATTGAACTTGATGAGAATCCAAAGTAATGTGAAGTAAAGGTTGCGGTTAGAGTAATGGAGATCTGATATACATTTGGCATTGTTAATGCATCTGGAGAATACTTTGGTCATTGTTGGAGGGAACAAGATGGAAAATAAAATTGTGGAAATGGAAGATGATATTATTCCCTAAATTGAATTTTCCACTTGAGGCTTATGTGGTTCACATAATGTCATGGATGGCAAGTTGGAAGAGTTCTGCGGGATATTTGGCTTCTTATATTGCTTTTGTTCCACTTTGTGGGATGGATCAGATGGCTTGCAGATGGGAATCGAATGGATTTTCCTCAGTTAAATACTTTTTGAAAGCCCTTCAGTCTATTGTAGGAATTTATCTTTGACTGAAAGTTTGGGACATTCCTTTGCTGCCTAGAGCTTTATATTTTGGTTGGGTTGTTGACCTATACAAAACTCTCGTTGGAGATCACCTTCAGCAGATGTGTTCATCTTTCATGTGAGGCTTTTAATGCTAAGAAAAATTTCAACCACTTGTTCCTGCATTGCCTTTTCCCCAGGACCATGTAGATGTTAAACTTAATGGCCTCTTTGGCATAGAATTAGTTCTGTTGTCCTCAGTTTTGGATCTCATTAGGAACAGTTTGAGTCCTTCATCAAATTGGAAGCACTCTATGGAGACTTTGACCTCTATCAAGTTCTCTGGAACATTTGGAAAGGGAGGAATAGCAGCATCTCTAAGGTTGCCCTCTTCCCTGGGCTCAGTTTGTGAGAGGATCATGCTAGTAACCCTTGAACCTTTTATACTGTCTTAGGACCATTGGAGGTAGAGGATGATTCCCGTAATGTGAATAGATGGACTGGGAGGGGGTCACCTTTTCTGTTGTAGTAGTTCATGAACATCATTGATGAAATCTCTGAGATTAGAGTGTCTTCCATGTTTCCCCACGCTATGAGACTGCCAAAGAGGACAATCATTCTGATTCTAGCAGTATCTAGCAAAGACCCTCTGTTAGTGAGGAAGGAGGCCTCTGTTTCCAATCCTCTCTTCTTTCTCTGTTCTCTGATCTAAGTATTACTTTGTCTGCCCCAATTGTGGTGTGACTTTGTATAGAGGTCATCTACAAAAAGATCATGAAAGAGGGAGCTCACGGACTTGATAGACACAGAAATTTGGGCTTGTCATAGAAATTTGCATGGGGAACTTGGTCTGCTGTGGGACTTGTTTCTGGAATGTTAAGTGGTACTGTGGATGAGCCTTTAGGGTAATAATGGTTTCTAGGATAAAGATGGTTGTTAGATGCTTGAAGCTAAAAGTAAATCGAGACCATGAACGAGGATGAGTCAGGTAAATCCCTCCTAAAGCTTTCCTTTAAACATGAGCAAATGGAGTCAAAGCCTTTGGTCAGAATGTCAAATAATTTGTGATAGGGGAAGAGAAGATAGATTATCTTCGAACATGATGCCCCTGAATCTTTATTAATTGCATCTTTTAAGTTGTGATCAGATGGAAGGTTTCCCACATCGTGAGATACTGAAGGTATGTTGTCTACTGCTTCTTGAGTGCTGGCTTTGATTAATCATTAACTCATCTTTTAGAGTGAGTTCTTTTTATCATCCTAAAATTTTCATTTACATGATACTGGGGGTGCTGCCATTGATCCCTACTGATATCCATTTCAGTTCTACTTGGAGGAGGTTGGGTGCTTATTTAAAGCCCAGGTTGGGCCAAAGTGGGAGTGTTGGAGAAGGAAACTAATCTAGTAGAGACTATTGAGCTTATGGTTAGCTTGTGTTCCACCAGTCTTATAAAGGGGCTTAGTACTGCAGCAACTGTATCTTTTAGAAGCATATCTTTTAGAAGCATGGGCATGGGTGAGATAGCATGTCAAACCTTGAGCCCCTAACCCAGAAAGTCTTGAGAGTTATTTGGCTTGTTCGGACTCTCTCTGTCTCTCGCACAGACACGCACATGCTCACATGCACACAAGAGACATGCGCCTGCACTGACATGCTCACATACAGATTGGTTTTATATACTCTTATGTTTCACCTTCATGTTTCTGATGTTATGCATATATCTTCTAACAAATAATTATTGTAAACTGTATTTATTGTACAGAGTGCGGGAATTGGGGAATCCTGGACGTCGGTTGTCAAAGGCAAAGTTGATTGAATCAATAATGGTTTCTGTTTTGGTGAACCGTAGCCATCGTTACAAGGCTGTATAGTGGTCCTTTGATTATTGTAATCTAAAGCACAATAGACTGTCATACACCTGTACAGATTTGATTCCTATAATAATTTAGAAGATCCCTTCTTGTGTGTGTTAGTGCTTAGATGCCTGTAACGAGGCTACTCGGGCAAGTGATGCATCTAGACTTAAGATGGTGATCCCTGGTTTGGCAAACAATCGATATTTTTCCACTAATTAGCCGTCAATGTTGGCTGGCAAATTCAATTCAATTCATAGTCATGTAACCCTAAAATATTATTTTGGGCTCAAAAAACCTCTTACAAAAATCATTAAGGGGTTAAAATATGCAATTAACATAAGAGGGTTATTTTTAAAAATTTTTATTAGGAAAAAGTTTATACAAAGCTGAGGCTCTACACAATCAAATTAGAGCCCACCTCAAAATTTTTATTAGAAGAGGATGTTTTGATATCCCAATATCCTCGAATTGATCATCTCAACATCAAGATGGATTTCAAGATTTGGAAATACTGCATCTTAGAAGGCATTTTTGGACTATCGAATTTTCATAGCTATGCTCGATCTGCACTAATTTTTAAACTTTAAATTTTATAATTAAAGATGAAACTACATTTTAACGCTATCACAAAGATTTTCAATATTGAAACCACATTTCTTAACAATATTTGAATGTGCGTTTTACTTTGATATCGTAGAGCCTTGGCTCTATATAAAATTATACCTATTTTATTATTATTATTATTATTTTACTCAGTTATATTCACAAAAAATATCTTCAAAAATGCCCAAATGATCCTTATCAAGATTTGAACCCCAAAAAGCATAGGTATTTTAATAATTTGAACCACCTTAACCATCAGGGGTACTCCCATTATTTAGTTAAGGCCTATTAAGGCTAAGTTATTGAAATCTCTTTGGTTTTTTAGAATACCTTGTAGGGCAATTTGAACATTTTAGAAGATATTAAAGAAGTACTCAAGCTTTCTAATGTTAAATGCGATATTTTGCTCTATTAATGAATTTGTATAGTGTTTTAATGATTTTTACCACATAAACGATATTTTCTCTGATGCAATATGTATCCCAAATAGTATAGAACTTAAATTAAGTAAATATTAATCTCCTAAAGAAAAGGAGAAACAACTGAAGGCTTGGGCTTGCGGTGTGTACAGTTTGGGCAAGAGAGGCTCAAGGTTTCTCCTTAAATGTTACCTCTCATAGGTGTTGTTCAGAGAGAGATTCGGGCAGTACCATACTCAAGAGAGAGAGAGAGTAGGGCTGGCAACTGGTATGGCCTGTCATGGCCCTAGTGTGGTCATAGGACCAGGTGAGGTCTGCTCCTGCCTTGATCGGGCAAAAACGGCCCTGGCCCAAGCCGGGCCTCGGCCAAATAAAACTAAAAAAAGAATAGGCAAAAAGAAAAGAAAAAAGGGGAACATGCTGGCTATTGGCCGTCCTGGCCATACCCTTTGGCTGTTGCTGCCTGACCCTAGCGGCCCTCAGGTAACATTTTATGGCCCAAACCTTAGATTTTAAGGGCTGGGCTGACCGGGTCGGGATTGCCATCCCTGAAAGAGAGACCTATCTCTCTCTCTCGCGTTGTTTTCCAGTTTCTTTTTGGACTTTGTCTGTCTTGATTGTCTGTGATATATTGAAGCTTTCCCAATTACCCATGCCTCGCCAATTGACTCCAAAACAATGCCTTCATTTTCAAGTGAGCTGATTTTGAAATAGAGGCGGTGGAGATGTTGGCGGTTCAAGTATGCTTATCTCCGGCTGGTGATCTCAGCCGATACAAAGGTATATGATAGCACTCAAATTTTCCAATGCGACAGTTTGATCATTTAGGTTCTTACTTCGTCTCGACGGTTGTGCTATGTTGTCCCTTGATATTCATTGGATGTTTTATGTACCATTAACAAGAACATACGTGCCAAAATAGAGTCTTACCCCAAAAGAATACCTCTCTTATTTAAGTTGTTTTTTTGGGAAAATTTTGTATAGAACTTTAATTCATCGTATTATTTCACAGTAGACCCTCCTTCCGTTTTTGTTTCAAACTACCTAAAAAAACCCTTAAAGATTTCACCATACCCCCTCATCTCTTATCTCACTTTTGATGATAATACTTAGCCCCAACAAATCTTTTTATACTATTTCACCTCAAAAACTTTTTTTTAATAACTGGAAATGAAAAAAGATGGTGGAAATGAAAAAAGATGGTTAAAAAAGTTTTTAAGATGAAATGGTATAAAAAAATTTATTGGGGTTAATTTTTATCTTCAAAAGTCAATAAATGAGGGTGATAGAGATGAGGGGGTACGTGAAATACTTATGGCTTTCCTTACGCTACTTGAAAGAAAAACGGAAAGTTGGTCAACCATGAAATAATATGAGTAATTAAGGTTCTATACGATTTTTTTCCTTTTTTTTTTTCTGTACAAGCAATGCTTCCATTTGTAGAATGCCAAAAGATATCCATTTACTCACTTTGGCAAAACTCTACCTAGAATTAATAATAGGACCTCAAATTTTGGGGACATAACCTCTTCATCCAATAAATTAACTTTAATAAAAAAAAAAAATCTAATGCAGATAAGAAAATAATGTATGGAGATTGAACAGTGACCATCCAATTTTTAGATTTTGAGCTCTAAGTGTTAGAAAACTCAAATTTCACAATTTTTCTTTGAGATATGATTACTAGTAATTCTTAAATGGTTCCCAAAATTTCAAATTGAAAAATTCCTCCTATGTAGGTCTTTTGACCCAAAGAATGATGCCAAAATACTAAAAAATAAATAGAGAAATTTTTTCAAAATAAAATCCCTATTCTCTATTTATTTTTAAATATTTTGGCATCATTCTTTTTAAAAATAAATTTTATTACTTTTTAAAATAAATTTCAATTTAAAAAAACTTTGTACCTTTTAAAAATAAATTCTCTATTTATAAATAGAATAGAGAATTTATTTCTAAAATATTTAATTTAAACAATACTTATATTTAAAATTAGAGTACATATTTTAAAAACAAATTATCTATTTATCAAAATCTCTATTTGATAATCTTTGGGCGTTTTAAAAAATAAAATTTTCTATTTATAAATAGAAAATAGCAAAAAAATGGTGAACCTCCCATTTGTTAACTCCGGATCGGACACTCCAAAAACCCATCAGGATAGGTGAATTGACATTTTGGATTGAGAATTGACTAAATCGGTGGGAATCAGCGTTAAAAAGAATACAAAAAATTATTAAAAATCATTATAAATGTTGTTTTTAGGAATCCAATAAGACATGCAGATACTACATTAATAACTTTTATTTTTGTGCATCAATATGTCAATATTGTGATGTTCTTTCCCTGTATGAAGATTCTCATCAAAAATTTATTAAAACATAATTAAATACAATATTTACATTGAAATTCGAATTATTGGTTTTTATTTTATTACTTTATCATCAATTACTATATAAAGTGAAATTAGTATCCCACCAAAGTATCAAACATGTATTAATTCACTTTATGCATCTAAAATTATCACAATCTAACTAACTATAATATTATATACTGAAATTGAAATTGTTGATTTATATTTTATAATTATTCTACTATACAAATAATTGTATAAAAAAAAATCTAAAATATGTTATAGTATCATATAATTTAAAAAATCTTATTTACAATTATAAGAAAATAATACATTATATAATTTATAATACAAATAAATTAATAAATAAAATACTAGATTTGGTTATCAATGTATAATATTAACTATAATATTATAAAAAATATAATTAAAAATTGATTGGAAAACGCTTTCATATCATATAATTAAAAAAAAGGAAAAATTTCGTATAGAACCCTAATTCATTGTATTATTTCATGGTAGACCTTCCTTCCGTTTTTTTTTTAAGCGGCATAAGAAAACCGCTAAAGATTTCACCTTACCCTCTCATCTCTTATCTCCATCTTTTATTGACTTTTAATTATAAAAATTGGCCTCAACAAATATTTTTATACTTCAACCCAAAAACGTTTTTAATGGGAGAAAAGAAAAAATATGGTTAAACTTTTTTTTGAGATGAAATGGTATAAAAAAATTTATTGGGGATGGTCAAAAGATGGAGATAAGAGATGAGGGGCATGGTAAAAGCCTTACGGATTTCCTTATACCAAAACTGAAAGAGGGTGAAATAATACAAGGAATTAAAGTTTTATACGAAATTGTTCCCTTAAAAAAATACAACCCTCTAAATTTTAATATTATGATATTAAAAAATTCAAACAAATATTTTACTCTAAAAATAAAATAAAAAATAAAAAAATACCTCTCGACAACACGCACAGCAGCTATATATATGTATATATAGATGGATGCCAAGGAGAGAGGGATTGTTAGGGAGAAAGAGAGGAGCGATGGGGAATTAATTTGTAGACAGAAATAGAGAGATATGGATGGCCTTAGGGAAGGGAGAGAGAGGGTTCTAAACGAAAACTTTGACATCTTTGATAAAAAAAAACATGGGAATATTTTTTTAAAATAGACGTCAAACTATTTTCTTTCCCTTTTTACTATAGAGAGTATATTCCTCGGTAAATTACAGGTGAAGAATTAGGAAGGTTTAAACGACAATTTTGCATATCAAACAAACAGACGAAACGAGAGTTGCCCAGACTTCTCTTCACCAGCAGAGCATATGTTCAGGCAAACCGTGAAAACTCACGAGAATTCTTATGAATAAAACGTTGTGAGGTGGTACAGTGGGCGTGCGCCAATCAATCAGTGTGTAAGTTGAAAGGTTTTGATGGTGTACACGTGTTGGTGACCCTTGCTGATGGGTGAACTTCACCGGGAGTATCTGGAGGCCAAAAATGGAAAAGTGGATCCAGATGGGTGTCACTGATACCCGATTCGCAGATCGTACGATTTCAGATCGGGTCGTCGATTTTTCAAAAGTATATGACAGGAGGCCAAAAATGGAAAACCAAAACTGGACAAAGAAAAATCTCAGGAAGTATTTGACAGGAGACCAAAAATGGAAAAAGAACAAGAAAAATTGGCCCAGTGGCCGGGGTGGTCTCCATGTACATTTGGCAAAAATATAAACCAAAGGGTAATATTAAGAGGGAACCTGGTCCCTACGTAATTTTCTTTTTCGTGCAAGTCATGCTTCCATTTTTATAGAATTGGTTGTTTACAATTTCAAAAACTAGGAATTAATGCAATCATGATGGGGTTTGAATCAAATAAACATAAATAGGTATCAAAACCATGGACATAATTTATAGTGTGAACTCATGGACATAATTTACAGTGTGAACTCTCGATAGGAAGAATCTAACAGGGGGCCAAAAATGGAAAAGTGGATCCGGATGGGTGCCACCGATACTTGATCTGCGGATTGCCCAATTCAGTGAATGCAAAGATTTTGATGACAATGGGTCTTGACATCAGACCATTGTCATTGAGACACTAGCTCGAGCAAACCTTCAAATCCTGATTTTATAACTATTTCTTCTTAAAGACCAGTCCATAGTTTCTCACTAACTTGCAGTGAAGCATGGACCATGCTGTAAAGCCAATCATGGCCAACTAACATTTATGGTTCCTATGTAATGACTACAATACCCCAACATGTTTTCAAGAATAGATAGGCAATCAGGCGCATATACATAGTCCATGCAAGACTAGATCATGGCAGTAAAGACCATCTCCAGTTGTCTAATTAATTACAGGGAGACTCTTCACTCTCAATCTGCAAAATAATATTTATTAAAAATAAATCAGCAAATGGACTTCCTAACAAATCAAAATGACAAGGCACATAAAAAGGGCATGTTTTGAAACAGATAATGTTCATGAACTAAAAATCAAATTGTAAAAGAAAAAATTTACATCCAAGTTTCTTGTACACCATCAAGGCATGTAATCAGCAGTAAACTAAAACTACAAGAGTACATAAGAAATTTACTTTTCAAACACAACCAAAGATACTACTTTTGCAAAAGAAAATAGATTCGCTTAAGCAAATACTAAGAACATGTTATCTAGAATAATAAATAGTATTACAACAAAAATACAAAGGAGACCTTTTTATTTTTGCTATAATTATTTATTATTTTTATAATTCTATTTATTATTCTACATAAATACAAAGAAGACCAAAATGTGAAGAGCAGAAAGGGTAGAATGGATGGTGACCAAGCTTTAAAACCTCTCCCTAGAAGTGGGCATGGAATCAAAGGTTCTTTTTACATGCATGTATTGTCACTGGAAGTTCCCAAACCCTAAAAAACAAAATTGAAATTGGCCAATAAAGACCAAAATGGTGACCTGGTTCTCCGAGATAGAGGACCATGCACTCAAAATAGAAGAATCAAGGATCAAACTTCTTGCCACAGTACTTGCAATGTTAAAACCTTCGATCCCGGCCCACTCCTTAGGAGAGGTCAGAAGATTCGTCTCCACTCACCCCACCATTATTGGTGGCAGTATTGGTATTAGCATTATCTGGTGGGAGTGAAAGTGGGGGGGTTGATGGGATTTGCTGATTTGTGGGGGTAAAGGTGAGAAGTTGAGCATTCATTCGAAGATGAGGGTTCATTGGGAGAAGACTATGATAGTGATGATGAATTGGGTAGTACAATAATATTGGGGTAGAGAAAGGCTGGGAGGTGTGTGGAGTCATAAGGTGGAGGTTCATAGTTATATATGCTCTACAAAGAGAGGTGATATCACCAATAAAATCACATCTAAAATGTGTGCAATCCCCCTAGACTACATTGGGGCTATTAGGCGTGCAGAGTTGATAAGGTTGTAATTATATTTGCTCTATTGACATGGATTGTATGTATCACCAGTAAATAGCAGCTTAAATGTGTACAATCCCCCTAGACTACCTTCTCTTCTTTTATACAGGCATTTATGCATGCCCATCCAACATTTGTAATCCCATCTCAGGACACCCAAAAAGTTGCCCACTATTTCCCAATAATCCTAATCCAACCCTTATTCGCTATCTTCAGCTAGGTTCCTTCTCCCTTCTCTCTCTAAACCAGAGCTCTCTTCTCACTCTCTAAACCAGAGCTCTCTCTTTTATCACTTGGTTCCTCAGTCTGATGCTATTCCATCGCTCTCCATTGAGAGCTGTTAGTTTTCTGGTCTCTTGGATTTGCACACATGGAGGTGTTGGAAAGGCAGTGGAGGATTTATTATGTGAGATGGAGGTTTTCAATTGTGAGGTGTTGGATTTGAGTTGACAGCTGTGATTTTTCTGGTTTTTTAGATTTGTGCAGGATGTTTTCTGCTTTTTGCGACTTCGCAGCCCCCATTGAAACATTGGTTTAATCCTGATACCAATGTTCACGAAATCAAACCGGAACGGTAAACCAGTTTTGGGGCTGGGAGCAATTTGAACCGGAACCGGACTAACCGGGGCGGTTAACCGTTTTAACCGATCAAGTAGTTCTTTTTCTTTAAAAATAGGTAAAAATTGTCCAAAATAATTAATAAAATTTGAAAAAAATAGAAAAACTTAGATTAAGTGTACACTATTATATTACATACATTTATCTTACAAAAAAAAATTGACACAACTTTTTATATAAATTAATATTTGAATACTATAAAGATATGCAAGACGATTTGGAATTTGACACTAATTCAATTAATGAAGTTACAAAGTCCAACTAACAATGCTAGTAGTAATGAGAGTGGAGAGGAGAATCATGATATTGTTGTGTTTCAATATCAGAATTTACGGGGCGAAAAATTTGAGTAAGGCTTGGTCGAGTCTGTAATGCCGCAGTTGTACCCCCTCGTCAGTCAGAAATATTTTTTGTGGTACCCCCTTGGCCAAAGTCTCCTAGACTCATCCAGCCTTCATGCTCTCCCCCACCCTGTTCTGTGTTACCCCACCCTGTTCTGTGTTACCCTCGCCCTGTTTTGTGTTATGGCCCTCAACATCTTCAATATTGTCATCATCATGAATAACCAGGTTACGGTGGCGGCTACGACTTCGTCTCTCCCTTTTTGAGTAACTCCTATGCCTCAATGCATGGACTTCCTCCCGAGCCAATCTCATTAAATCTTTCTGTTCACCAGACACCGCATCATGTTGTGCCCCTTCACATACCTGGATGACTGGTTCTTGCCAATTGTTTTCCATTGTCCCATCTGTTTCATCATCATGTGCCTCATCTTCATCATGTGTATAATTGTCATTCATGTTCATTGTCATGTTTCCTTCATGGGATGCTACAACATTCACATTATCATCCATATCGGCAACTTCCCCACTAAGAAATTCATGGTCTAGTAGTGGGGTCCTTAGTGACACCCACTTATCGGTGAGATCCCTCCGGAATATGTAATTAAGGTTGATCGGCATGTAGTCTGTGGGGGTCCTCCTTATATGTTTCTCTCTCAATTTTAAATTATAATGAACGTACACCTAGTTGTGCAGCGTCTGTGTCTTTAACCTATTCCGCCTCGGGGCGTGTATCTACTAAAATGTACTTCAATTTCTCTCACAGCTCAAGGTAGCACAGGTTTGACTCAAAACTCTAACGACAATCTTTTGCAATTGCTTTGTTCGAATTTCGTGTATCGTCCACCATTGCGCTGACACAGACAAACATATAAATACTTAACAATAGAAAATAAATTGATTTAAAAAAAACCACAAATAGTAGTGCACTAAACTATTGCAAGTTTTAACTTAAAACTAACATGGATGTAATTTTGCAGCTGCTTTTTTGGCATTGTTGTATGCAAATTCCCCATTTTTTTCTATGTACATGATAAGCTAAAAATAACAAGACGCATTTACAAGAAATTAATACTACATAGAAATGCAATTCATTATTTTAAATTGAAATTTTATTACATATACGTTTTGATTAAGGTTTACTTATTGCATACACTCCATCTGAGTTTCAAGATCCGGTTCAAGCCTGTAGATGTAGTTTCTTACCCCCTCCATGTTATCTGCATCATCTAAAGTGGCATTGGAATACAAATTTCGTGGATTAAGAAAGAACCCTGCACATGGTTTGTTATATTATTAATTACGGTAACTTTTCTCGGAGTTGAGAAAGAGTCATGAATTGTGACAGTGAATCATAAATTACATGCTGCATGGATATCCTGCTGCAGTTGGTCTCTCCACCTACGATCAACAATCTCTAATATCTCTTCATTCCATATGTTATTCTCAAATATAGTTCCCTTGCACATCTCATTGTATCGAACAGAAACCCCATTGCGGGTTTATCATCAGAGTCACTTAACCTCAACACTCATACTAAAGGTTTAGTTACAGAAACAACATGGTTAAATTGAGCCCAGAACCTCCGATCGAGAAGGGTGGTTTCAACCTACCTTCCAAGTTAACTCATTGCTGCCCTATCAGTCTGCCATTCATTAGAGCGTATCATTGACCTCAATCCTGCCTTGTTTACCAATATCGATTGTATCGTGAGGAACGTTGTAGCGAATCTGGCAGTGGACTCGTTGACAATCTCTTGCATGTAATGCTCCCTCATCAAAGCATGAAGATACGTGTGATTGTATATAAACCTTGTAACCAACTTGCTCTTCAAAATACAATATTTAACCCTCTTCAGCTTCTCTATATCCTTGAGCATCAAATTAATACAATGGGCAGCACAAGGAGTCCAATAAAGAATGTGTCTTCTCTCCATTAGCAACAAGCCTGCTTTTTTGTAATTCAAAGCATTATCAGTTACTACTTGAACCACATTTTCAGGCCCAACCTCATCTACAATTTTGTCTAGGTGTGCGCATATCAGTCTCCCAGTATGTCTCTTTCTTGATAAATCAATGCTAGAGTGGTAAACAATGCCCTTAGGGCAACCTATTAAAAAATTGCCAAGATACCTATGAGATTTGTCCTTCCAACTGTCAATCATGATGGTCACTCCTGTACCTGGCCAGCAGACCTTGAACTGTGTAATATGCTTATCAACATCATGAACATCAGCTTCTAAACATGGCCCTGCAAGCTCCTTCGCAGTTGGACCTTTAACACCTAGCCCTGCCTCAGCTATAAAAACTACCATTTGTGGGTAGAAGTCTGAGCTTGCAGATTTAAATGGCAATGCATTAGCATACCAGAATATGCTAATCATCTTTCTCGCTTTTTCTATTAATACGCCTGCTAACGGAAATTTTAATTTTTTTTGATGATATTGTGACTTATGGGGATCAAGTCCAGAGGGTTCGCGGGTCATTGATGGCACATCTATGGGTTCATGTCGTTGAGTAGTAGATAGCCGACTATAAGAGAATGAGCGACTAGAGAAACTGCATCTTAATCTACTAGATGTGGATCTAAGCAATGAAGCCCATATCCTCCGCTTCCCGGTACTACATGTTCTTGAGGTTGACGGCTACTAGATGCACCATCCCTTCTCCTATACTTTTCTTGAATTTCCATTTGTCTAAAATTAAGCTCTTGAATACTGGCAATCCTAGCTCGTTCCATTTGAGTCTCAAATTCTGCCTCTTGGTCATCTTCCTCGTCTATTGGACTTTCGTATCCCGTCCTTATCTCCTCTGCATCCCTTTTTCTCTGCACTTTTTTTCCTTTTCCTTCTGTAATTATTTTTATCATTTGTTGTTTTACTTCTGGTGGCACTTCTTTACAACCGGTGACATTACCCTTTACCCAAGCAAGATGTTCTTTTAGGCGATAAATACCACCACCCATTTTCTTATTACAAAAATTACATCAAACTCTTCCTTTGTCATTCACTTTTATACCATATTGCCATGTCACGTCTCCCCTTATCATCTTATTATTTTCTTGTAAATTTCCCTGAACATAAAAGTTCATTAAAAAAATATTTATTTGGGAAAATCACTCTACCAAGGGGACCTTGTAAGCATGGATATTTAAGCCCTACTTTCTCATGAAAATGAACAAGTTACAATAACATCTAATGGAAAAAAAATTATTGTTAAGATGACCATGAATCACCATGCCATTCAATTAATATTTCTCAATAAAAAACATACATGTGTGCCTCTAGACCATGAAAGCTAAAAAAGCCATGCATGCGGGGAATGCATTAAGAAATGTGGTGAAATATATTTTCTAGAGGGCTAAGGTCAATTAAATCCTTCAATGGGGAATATGAACAAAAATTAAGTGCCCAAACATTTCCCAAAGCACATGGTACACCGTGAAATTGAATAAGAGCAGCAAACTATTAAACAAGAAGTAATCCATATGAAGATACCTCAATTCCTGATGAGCAGTTTGCATTTCATGTGATAGTGACCCTTGCCATGAATATATATTCAAGGTAAAAAGTATTTCTCAAAAGGTTCTAAATGGATGCAAAAATACATCCAATTTTCAAAAGTGGAATTTAATACACTCCTTGCTATAAGTTTAAACTATAAAGCATGCATTGCTCCAAGGAGTTCTACAAGCTAGTACAATAGATAAATTCTGTATG